TTCTCAGCAGAAACTGCAGGGCAGAGTCCTCAGCAGGGTTCTCCTCTCTACCCTCCTTACACTCAGCCTTTGAACCTCTGATTCCAATTTTCAGAGTCAGTGTCTCTGTAGAGAGGAAGATGGTCTCTCAGAGAGGGCAGGAGCTGAGCAGCCTTTTTTTCCAATTTCTGACCCACACTGGGTTCTTTCTCACTCTCTGAGTTATGAAACCAATAACAAATCTGAGAGTTGATTATAAATGAAGGAAAGTTTATTCTTTGGCTGGAGAATAAAGAGAAGCCTAGAGATAACTCTCCGATGAGCTTCCCATCCAAACAAAAGATGAGACAGTCCTTTTAAGAATATGGAGGGAAAGTTGGGATTTAAGGAGAAGGAGGATGATTCATGACTTCTTCTGGGGAGAGGGTTAGGTTCATTCTGGAGATAAGGACCTTTCTTTCTTTCTTTCGTAATGAGGATCATACCTAGAGTTTTCAGCATGCTAGGCAAGTGCTCTAACACTGAGCTACACTTCCAGCCCTTTTATTTTATTTTCTTTATTTTGCCAATGCTGGCTTGAACCCACCATCCTCCTGTCTCAACTTCCTGATTAGCTGGGATTATACAGGTTCAAAGCACCATGTCCCATCTGGGCTGCTTTTGTTTGATCCTTTCTTTTTGAGCTGATTTCAATCTGGGTCATAAGGGGACCAGACCAAGCAAGATAATTACAATGAAGTGGAAATGAGTCTGGGGTGAATAACAGGTCTACATGGCATCCTTTAGGCCTAAAACCAATTTTGTTCAGTTCCAGTCTGTATCTAGTTTCACAGTAGTGGCCAAGGAGGTCCCAGATGTCAGCATGGTTGGCTAGGTGTATAATTTGGTTTGGAAGAGAGGACTAGTTATTAAAAAGGATTGTTTCTCAGGGTTCAAAAGGGTGTTTTCCTGGTGACATTTTCAGCTTTGTTCCCATTCCCAGAGAATTCGATTTCCCCAGGGTCAGAGCCAGAAAACTGAGGGTGCTTCTCCAGCTCCTCTGACCTGGGCTTACCTTAGGTGTACCTTATCTTAGGTGTATCCTGTCTTAGGTGTATCTGGGAGCCTGAATTTCTTATCTATGTTGCTGTGTAATTTTCTCCACTTTACCACGGGTCCTGTTAGTTAACTAGATCATAACTGCTCAAGGCAAAGGACTTTGTTTTTCTTTCTGTTGTTGTTCCAGATACATGCAGCTGGCTGTTAATAAATGCTCTCTGAACAAGTTTGTGTAGAGATTGTGTCCTACAGCCTATCAGTAGGGGAATGTGAGGACCAAAGGGGAGGGGAGAAGAGGAAAAGCTTTTGGTTTGGGGAAAGGGCAGAACCAGGTCTGGCTGGGGCCTTTTGCAGTTGTGTGTTTGGGGCTATCCAGGAAGAGGGGAGATCTTCATCCTCCCTGTTCTCAGGGGAGCAGTGGGAGTGGGGTAATGTGGGTAGACTAATTTGAGGGGAGACTTGGGGCAGAAATGCTGACCTTGTTCCCTGTATTGCCCTCTGTGGTGAGTCAGTTCTCTTGTGGAATGAATCTGAATCTGAGCTAGTACTTCAGAAAAGTGAATAATTTCATGCATTAAGCCGTGTAATCTATCTATCTATCTATATAAAATAACCATAAGGGATTGACACTCAGATTACTTGTATTTCACAGGTAGGACCAGAGGCCTACAGCAGGCCAGAATGTCCCAGGTCTATCCAGTGAGAAGTAGGATTCTGCTCAGGTCTTTTCACCTCTAGCCTGATGACTTTGTTTGTTTGTTTGTTTCTTTTCTTTTCTTTCTTTCTTTCTTTTTTTTTTTTTTTTTTGTGGTGCTGGGGATTGAACCCAGGGCCTTGTGCATGCAAGGCAAGCACTTTACCAACTGAGCTGTATCCCCAGCCCTATCCTGTTGACTTTAAATTTTTCTTCCTTTTTTTTTTGGCACCAGGAATTGAGCTCACAGAAACTTAACCACTAAGTCACATCCCCAGCCCCCAACATTTTTAAGATTTCTTATCTGACTTCATATTCTCTCTCTTTCTTGGGGGAACTGCCCTTTCTCTCTGCCACATTTTAGCCACAAGGGGGCAGCAGAGGCCAAGGAAACTGGTTGAGGATGCCTGTGTGGCTTTTTCATTGGCCCAAGAATGATCTGGCATCCATGAAGCACCCTCTGGCTGGGTGCATGTTGTTCCTTCCTCTCTGAGAGGGAGTTTCCAAACAGTTCCGGACATGCCCTCCTTTTAAAGTTATGAATTTTGAACATGCAGCTAACAAATATGTACAAGAGTTATTTGGCTTATAAAAACAAATATCACATCAGGAGAAGTAAGATTAAAGCTTTTATAATAGAAGTTCTAATGTGTTTTTGCCTCCCCTTTTGCCCCCCAGGTCCCTGGAGCACCATAAGTGCTGATTCCCCCAACTCTTTTGGATTTAGACTGTGCCTTGGGGCAGACCTGCCCCTGTCAGTGTTTGTCCACGTGACCCTATGACCTTGGATAGCTTACACATATTGTAGAGGATCCATCCTTCAGCTCTAGAATGAGGACAGTGAGAACCACCTCATGGGAATCATCATGGGAATGAAGTATAAAATGTTCAGGTAAAATGACCCTCAGTGAATGGTGTGCCTAAATATTTCTTGGTGGTTATTAGAGAGCAGAGGCCCTGGCTGTGCCTGGGGGGAGGATTCTCTGTGACAGGAGAGGAACAAGGTGTGCAGCATCCTAGGGACTGTTAGAATGTGCCTCTTGGAGCTGGACAGGGCCTCTCCTGCCCTAGGCCCCCCTCTACTTCTCTGAGGGGCGGAGGTCAACCTTTGAGAACTCTAGGCCTTTTCCCATGACCCAGTTTTGAAATCCCTTCCACTGGGACTCACCTGGTTCACCTTTGACCATACATGGGCCTGACCTACCTGGGATTGGGAGGGTCAGTAAATTCTTCCCAGGTCACTGATGGGTCACACATATGGTCAGTGCCTGTGCTGGCTCTCTGCAACTGATCTGACATTGCAGTAACTGGGGAACATGTTTCAGATACTCTGGGCCCATTCTGGTGTCTCATCTTCTTATAGGTTGGGACCGAATGCCAAGAAGGCCTTATCCCTCTTTCCTGGCTTCACTTTTTGTCCTTTTTTAAAAAAATTCTTAGTTGTAGATAGAAACAATATCTGCATTTTATTTATTTTTGGATGGTGCAGAGGATCGAACCCAGTGCCTCACATGTGCTGGGCAAGAGCTCTACCACTGAGCCACACCCACAGCCCTGCTCCTTCCTTTTTATGCCAGCTTTCTCTCAATCTGCTGTCTTTACTTGTAAATTTTTATTTATTTATTTATTTTTTATTAGTTAATATAATTCATTAAATTTTCTATAGGAATGTACAATTTTTGTTTCTCTGGCCTCACTCCTTTATCCTTTTCTATCTCAGGGCTTGAGTGGGAGGGATACTTTACCTCCCTGGAATCTCAGATGAGGAAGGGGGTGGATTGCTCATGCAGAGTGGTGGGGCAGGTGCCCCAGCCAGGAGGGCTCATTGGTGAATTCAGCGTGGGGCTGGGCCAAGGCCTGGCTCCACTAAGAGAGTGAGAGGAATAAGGAGGTCTCTCAGCCGCTTCTAATTGGATATTCAGTTTCGGAGGTGACAGCCTCACCTGGGAGGGGTCTCCCCACCGGAGAGGCAGATGGGCAGACTCAGAAGAAGGGGCTTGCACAGCCACACCACTGGGATTCTACTCAGTGGGCTGCCAGGTCACAGGGCAGCCCATCAGCCAGGTTTATGCTGGATAGAGATTGGAGGGATATTTTGGAACTGAAACAAAATTCACCAACTTGTGTGTCTTTTTCCTTTTCATTTTTTTTTCTAGAAATAAGTAGCCAGAAAACAGTTCTTTAAACCTTTTCCTACAGTAGAAGGTAACCTAGTGAACTCATCTTAGCAGTGTCAAGATAAAGAGATGGTCCTGTATTCTAAGAAAAGGGGTTAAAGGGCTAGGGATATGGTTCAGAGGCAGGGGGCTTTCCTAACATGAGTTCAATCCCCAGTATGAACAGAATGGGGTGGGGGGTTGGGTGAGTGAAGTACTTTACATCAACTCTCACATTTTTAGAATTCCAATGCATTTCATACATTTTACATTAACTGTTGTTTGTGGTTTAGGCATTTATCTGAAGCTATTTAGAAAGTACTTGCTACAGGTAAAAGATAAGACTACATTTTGGTTATAAAAGACAGTACATATTAACCTCATTAATATTAGGATAATTTATGTTTATACAAGAAAAATTATTTGTGGTTCAGTGAATGGTGATTCTTGTCGAAGCAGCTGAACAGTGATCCTGATGAGCTGGGAGAGGATAGTGCTGAGGTTCTGTGTCCCCTGCCAGTGCTGTTCAAGGATTCTGCCAGTGTTCTTTAAGGAGACCTGACCTGCTCTTTGTCACTACTTCCATCCCTTCCTCCCCAAATGGAAGGGCAAAGGGCAACCTTGGGAGGGAGAATGCTCAGGTCTGGGTGAGATAAGCTTTCTGGTCATGTAATTGAGGCAACTGAGAGTCCAAGGTCTCTTTCAGGATCTTGCTCACTTGAGTTACCTGGGGCAGGGGGCTGAGCTGGGCTGGAGATGTGGTGGTGGGAGGCAGTCTCCTGGCACATCTAGGCTCTCCTTCATCTAGGAAGTTACTAGATTGATGTTACCAGATGGCGGGGCTCATGGCTTTATCTCTGCAGTTGTGATAATGAGATGGCATTAGTAAAATTTATGTAGCACAATTCTTGATAGGGATTCAGTATAATTTTGTTTTCTTCTTTTTGTAACATGTCCCTAACATCTCTAGGTTTTAGGGAGTCTGACCTTTGGGCAGGGATTGGTGGTGGCATTCTGAGCTTGTTCTGCAGTGTTCCAGGAAAATGGTGGGCACTCTCTTTTTGCTGCTCTACTCTGCTTCCTTCTTCCTGGTAAAGAGAGCAATGTCCAGAGGGCAGGGTACACTCTGCCCAGGCTCCTTTTGCAAGCTTTCGCTTTAGATGGTGGAAAGGAGTGAGTGAGTGGTTGCTCCTCTGACTGGGAGGGCTTAGTGGGGACCCCGGTGTCAGAGACTCTGCAGAGATCACTGCAACTTATGTCCGGCTCTGCTTTGTCCCTTTCCTGGGAACCAACTGCCTCTAGGAGATGAGGAATTTGTGGCCCCAGCATTGGACTCAGAGGCAGAGGACTGGGTTATGTGAGCAGCTTGGGGCAGGTGTAAATTCTGAGGGCATTATTTGTGGTCTTCTGGGGTCCTTTTGACTCTGAAATTTCTCCAGCTCTGTGTTTAGAGATGCTCCAGGAAGTCACAGCCTTTCATAGGTGGGAGAACAGAGAAGAAGGTAAGTTGGCTTTGAAGACACCTGTGACCTAAGAGGAGGAATCTAGGGAGAAGCCGGTGGCAGGAAGGAGCAGAGGATGAGGTGGTGTGAGAGGCAGTGTGGGGGAGTAGGTGGAACAGTCTTGTTCTAGGAAGACCCAGGAGAAGCTTAATGAGGGTTGTTCCTTTATTCATTTGCTATAATGACATTTCTTTAACATTTTCTTGGACCAGGCCCTGTTTTAATTACATGTAGTGACTATAAATCACATCATTTTCATTACAAACTTGGGAGGTAGATGTTGTGACTATGTCCATCAGACAGTCAAGGAAACTGAGGCCAAGAAGGTCACGGTGAGAGTGGCTGAGCCTGGAGGGCAGCCTTGAAGTCGGCTCCCAGAATTTGTTCTTCCCAATACCACAGACTGTCTTCTCCCTGGTCCTTCCAAATTGTAGGTGATTTGGGGTCTTTTCTCTGACCAGGGCTCATTATCTCTATGCTTTGTCTCCAGGAAGGGTCCCTAACCTCTCAAAGAAAAAGAAGGCAAGGACAAACCTGTTGGTGGGGGAAGTGCTTGGCACCTTCTAAATGAAGCGCCATATCTGAGCCCGCAGCGGAAGGGACTGGGCTGAGATTCAGGTTTAGGGGAACTCCACATCTAAGAAAGCAGGACAGGGTTCTGGGCTCCTGTGATGGGCACCACAGCCTCCTTGAGGGCATGTCTGTCTCTGACACTGCCCAGGCCAAACCTGGGCATAATTATGGGGCAGGAGAAGAGGCAAGCAGGAGTTTGCATGATTTTCATAATGGGAACCCTGGGTCTGGGCCCTCCTTTCTGGGGGGTCATGAGTGGTATGTGAATAACAGAGAGATAGAGGAATGCCTTCCACCACAGAGCTCCAGGTATATATAGAGAAAGAGCCTGGTGTTCTGGGTCAAGTAAGCTGTGGTTGGGGTGGGAAAGGAAGGAACGGTTTCTTTCTTTCTTTTCTTTTTTTTTAATATCCTGTTTTTCTTTGAAGTTGCTCCTCCTTTTGCATTTCTTCATTGATCTTTCCTGCAGTAATTTTTTTCTAAATATTGAACTGGTGGGTTTTCATTCTCCTTATTAGAAGTCTTGTGTAAAGAAAAAAATGCTCCCATTAATTTAATTATCCATTTATTTATAATAATACAAACTCAGATTTTATTTGAGGAACTACAATCCAAATAAAATATAAAAAGTATTTTCTTAGTAATTTTATTCTTTTTATTATGGCTTTTTTATTTGATGGCTCAAGCCTTGGCTATTAGAAGCTCTTTCTGGTTGGTGAGTCTTTCCTAGTGACTAGGTCCCATTCTCTTTTTCTTCCTTTTCTTTGATTTTCAACCCCCCCCCCCCACACACCTTTGGTGATATATTTGCTTAACTATATGTCTGAGCACTTTCTCCCAATCTGCTACTATGATATGCTCCAAATGTAATTTATGTTTATCTTGCTTCAGTCCTATCATCAGGCTGTTTTTCAGAGATCCCAGTATTTTTTTAATTGGAAAAGGATATTTAAAAACAACTACATTAATGCTCCGTATGCTTGTGGCTACTAGAGTGTCATTTTTTCTGGAACTACTTGTTTTTCCAAGCTAGAAACATGTGGTAGGCTGACTCACCTATATGCATCCATACCTGCATTTATTTAAGTTTCTACCCCTTTCTCTCTCTCTCTCTCTCTCTCTCTCTCTCTCTCTCTCTCTCTCTCTGTGTGTGTGTGTGTGTGTGTATGTGTGTGTGTGTGTACACATGTGAACACTCATGCTTGTACTAATAGGAACAGTTTCTTACCAGGTAATTCTATGGTTTCCTGATACCACAGTCTTCCCACAAGAGCTGGAAGGAGCCCAGGCTCAGCTATTTGATAGTGTCAGGGTAGTGGGGGGCCCACCACCCTGTTAGTATGATGAACCAATAGGAAATGCTTTGCTCCAGCAGGGGACTGCTGTCCAGCCCTGAGCCCTGCTCTCTATGCTGAGGTGCTGGAGCTCTGGGCTGGACCTGCCTCCTGCCTGCAGGTCTCGGCCCTCATCCCCATCTCTCTCCCCAGCTCTAAAGATATGGAAGGGCGCTGCAGTCGCTCCTTGCTCTGCTGTCTCGCTTCCCTGCTTCTCCTTGTCCAGCTGTCCACAGGTGAGTGTCCCCATCTGTTTTCCTTTGTGGTTTTAAAAATCAAGATAGAAAAACATTTGAAAATACATTTTCCTCATTTTTTTTTTTGTTTTCTTGGCTTTTTTTTTGGTGCTGCGAGCTTTCATTCATTCATTTTATTCCTGAAATATTAATGAAATGTTGATTGGTAGGTGCTATTCTATGAAAGAATCAGACACAAATTCTGTCATACAGTTTGTCTTCTAGCAGGAGAGAGTGAGTAATAACTGCAACTAGGCAGAGAGGCCTAAGAGTGTTGGAAAACTATGGGAAATGCAGCAGGGCAGGGTGTGGACAGTCCGGGGCATGGGAGGCAGGTGTGGGCAGGCAGCACTGTTCAGTGAGGTGGTGTGTAGATGGGAACATAACCCTGGAGAAGGAGGAGTGAGCTGTAGGACCATTTGGAAGGAGGGTTCCTGCAGGGGGAGGAGCCTGTACAGAGCTGGCAGTGTGCTGAGGTGTGAGGAAGCTCAGAGGCCAGTGTTGCTGGACTAGAGCCCATGGAGAGAGAAGCAGCAGGTGAGTTCAGAAGGGTCTTGGGAAGGAGGGTCAAACTAGACAGGCCTGGGGAGAAGTGGGGAGCCATGTGGAGGCTTTGAGCAGAGCAGCATCATGGATCAGCTCACGTGTTAAAAGGATCACTGAGGTCAGGAATCCTAGTCATTCTCCAGTTGAGATTTAATGGTGGCTGAGACCAGAGTGGAGAGGTACAGGATTTGAGAGTAGCTCTTTGGAGGCCCATTGCAGCGTGTCCTGCAGAGGAGTCATGTGGTAGCCTCAGAAGCCCAAGAGTCCCAAGAGTGGAGAGTGAGGTGAACTGCTTCTTGAACATGCATTGATGGGGGTTTCCGTGAATTATGAGAGCAGGATTTTCATAGCAGTAAGTAACATTTGACTCTGTGTTTTAAAGTGCATATGTATTTCTCTCCTCCCTCAGTGGAGGAGAAAAATATAGACTGAAGTAAATAATTTAGAATAGGAAGAGGGGAATTTCCTGGGTGTGACTGAATGACCAAAGAGTGCTGACCCAGGCCGCATGTGAGCTCTTTGTCAGTTTTCATGTTTGTCCTGAGACAGGGGTTTGTTAGACCTGGGGTTCCCAGGTCCCAATGTGTGCTCCTCAGACCACCCTTGGAACTCCTTGCAAATGCACATTCATTGCCCCCCCACACACCCCAGATCTAGTGGATGAGACACTCTGGAGTGGAGTCCAGTGATGTGTGCTCTATAAGGCAGCCTTATGGTTCTGGTGCATGAAAGTTTGAGAATCACTGAATTAGAGATTTCTTCATGGGATGGCCTGGGACCAGGAGCAGAAGACAATGAGGGAGTGTCTTTGGCATTATTTCTGGCCACATGATAATGATCAGAAGACCTCTTCCAAATCCATCAGACTTCTAGGGTCATCTCATGTGGCCCCTGCCCCGGCTTTCCTGGCCTTCCCACCTGATGTTGTATGTTCTCGTTTTTTGGTCTGTGTCTCTCTAGCTTTCTCCCCACTATGTCTGTGCCCACAGAGCAATTCCAGGTCATTGGCCCTCGACACCCCATTTTGGCAGTGCTGGGTGAGGATGTCATACTTCCCTGCACCCTAGTTCCAGCCATGAATGCAGAGAACATGGAACTTGGGTGGTTCCGCACCACATTCTCACAAACAGTGTTCATCTACTGGAACCATTGGGAACAGACTGAGGAGCAGATGGCTGAGTACAGAGGGCGGACTTCATTGGTGAGGGGCTGCCTTACTGAGGGGCATGCTGCCATGCTCCTCCGCCAGGTCCGGGTTTCTGACAATGGAATGTACACCTGCTTCTTCAGACATGGAGGCTTCTATGAAGAGGCTGATTTGGAAGTGAAGGTGGCAGGTTAGTTACTTGATGTCTATTCTGGAGACCTTGGGAATATTGGGTTTGATGGGAATATCAAGGATCATCTAATTTAACCTAACATTTTATAGGTGAAGTGGAGAAAAAAGTGGCTCATCTTTTATTAATTGATTCAATACAAACACTGTATAGGGAGCATCTAAAATATTTTGGGACTTGTCCTGTGCACCAGAGATATATCAGTGTAATAGAGATCCCAGCCATGAGGAGTTTACATTCTAGAGACAAAGGAAGAAAAATTATAAGAAATAATTCAGTACAAGATGGCATAAGATGATAAGTACTTAAGACAAAAGACCAAGTAGATTTAAGAAAGGGGCTCAGGATGTGGGCTGGGAATTTAGGACAATCCATAGTGTTACATAGGGAATTGGGCAGAGTCTTATTGACAGTCTAAACAAGGCTCAAAGGAAGTAGGTATTTAGCCAGGTGGATATCTGTGGGGCCAGAGTTTAATGCAGAGGGAGCACCTGCTATGAAACCTTTGAAGTAGGAGTTTGGTTGATTATTCTGGGTATAATGAGGCCATCATGGTTGGTAGGAGGAGTGAAGAGAGGATGGTAAGAAGTGGCAATACTGGAATAAAGAGATGGTCCTGTATTAACACCACTGTCAGGTGTCAGGATGAGGTCATTAGGAGTAGACACCTGGGCTGGCACAAGAGCCCTGGATGTTGATGGGCTGGAATGTAAAACGGCAGAGGGCATACAATATGGTGATTGTGGCTACTTGCATTTGACTAAATAGTTCTTGGGGTTGAGTGTAAGGGCTCTGAGGATCTCAGATGGTGGAGTTTGGGGACAAGTGTTCAGAGAGGAAGACAGTTACTGGATCAGTAAAGGCTTTCTGTGCTGTGTTATGGAGTTTGGTTGCAGAGTAGGGGGAATCCTAAACAGAGCCAAGCTGGGAATGCTCATGTTGGCAGTTTGAATGGATGAATGGGAGGTGAGCAAGAAGGAGGCTTGGAGTGCATTTGTGATGTGGAGAGAATGATTGCCTGACCTGAGGCATGGTAGTGGGGTGGGAGAGGAGGAGTCAGGTTTAGAAACCAGATTCAACTAAACAGATTTGTGGGCACAAAGTTTGGAAGGGGAAGAGAAGTGTTCAGAGACTTCCAGTGTTTTATTTGAACCATTGTTGTTTCATGGCAGGACTATTGATAATTATGTGTCAGTTCTACTGCTGTAATAATGCTGTGTAACAAACAGCCACAATCTCAGGTGATTTGGCAATAAAAATGTATTTAATTCA